GTTAATTTAGGACAAGATGAAAACTCCATATAGTAGGTAAAAGAGTTATCATGATAAGATAAGGAAGGGCCTTAAGTTTCAAGAGGGAGTCCATGTATTTCTGAGGGTCACTTTGGTGACCGTGTGGACCGTGCATTGAAGTCGAGGAAGCTTACTCCTCGATTTATCGATCCATATCAGATTTTGGACAAGGTGGAAACTCTTGCGTATAGGGTGGCCGTACCACCTAACCTTTCGAATTTGTATGACGTGGTCCATGTTTCGCAACTTCGAAAGTACAATTCATATCCATCTCATGTAATTCTGATGGATAACGTGCAAGTGTCAGATAATCTTATGGTTGAGATTGCGCCTGTGAGAATCGAAGATCGTGAAATGAAAAAACCGATGGGCAAGGAAATTGCTCTCGTGAAAGTGGTTTGGGGAGGAGCTGTTGGAGAGAATATGACGTGGGAGTTGGAGAGTAAGATGCGAGAATCGTATCCGGAGTTGTTTGCATCAGGTAATTTTCGAGGACGAAAATATTCTAAGTGAGGGAGAGTTGTAACACCCTGAAAATTATAACTATTATTTGATTGGTTGTTTGTGATATTTGCGAGTCATTATGATTTATATGATGCGTTATGAGGTTTGATGATAATATGTGTGGGGTAGTGTCGAATTAAAGTAGTAATAAAAATTATTTTTTAATTTAAATAATTTAGTTGAAATTATTTAGATTTAAGAATAATTGTTTAAAATTTTATTGATATTTAAGTGGGATAATATGTGTAGAGACATAGAGGACGAGGTGGTAATTTTTATGAGGTTTAGTTAGGGTAAGAAGGGATTATCATAATAGGGGCCTAAGAGTTAAACTAGTAAAAAGAAGAAAGATAGAGAGTTGGATAGTATTGTTGATCGGTCGTGTTTTGAGAGAAGTGGCGGCAATAAGGTGAGAAAGTGCTAGGGCAAGAGGGAATTCATTGTAGAAGTTTGGAAACCATCAATCTAAGGTAAGGGTGGGGTTACAACTTTATAAGGGTATTGTATAATGATTGGTATGTTAGGGATTATGATTGTTATAGTTGTTGTGTACTCTTATTTAAGAATTTGCTTTGTTGTGTGATTGAATCAATTTGATAAATTGTTGACATGTGTGTGATTAAATTGATGTAATTGATGTCATGGAATGAGTAGTAATATTGTATAGTATGTATGTATGAGTTATGGAATTGAAAGACATTATTTTGATTGCAAATGTAGAGTTTTGGATTGAAAAGAATGAATTTCCTATTTTTGAAAAATAGCAAAAACTACCTCTGATTCAGTGGTAACCGGTTACCAGTTTTGGGGTAACCGGTTATCTGATGAAAATTGGGAAATACTGAGTTTTTGTTTTTTGAAGTAATCGGTTACTACTATAATTTTGCGTGGTTTGGCTACTGTTGGTGAAGTAACTGGTTACCAGTTTTGAGGTAACTGGTTACCACTGTGTCGAACAGAATTATTTCAAAAACTTTAAAAACTCATATCTTTTGTTTCGATAGTTCGTTTGACGCACCGTTTGAATCTATAGAAAGCTAAAAACATTCTCTATTCTATAAAAATATTTTTGAATGCAGTGGGTGAGTATTTGCTGGGAGGCTTATACCTTTTTGTATGAAATTTGTCTAATATGTTTGAGATGTTTGCATGGAAATATGTGTGATGATGCTATATGATATTTTTTGAGCATTATGGACTGCATGTTGCATGGGTGAATGATTGGTGGTCATTAATGGTGTGTTACATTGATAGATATGAATATCAATGTGTTAAATTTTGTTGCATGTTTATGTCGCATGCTTTCATGGTGAGGACTTTAGTCTTGTTGGTGTACTCTGATCCTATGATGGGGATCGGGAGGGATGTGAACCTAATTGTTCACAATATTAGTAGAATCTGATTCTATAGTAGGGATCGGAAGTAAGGTGAACCTATTTGTTCACGAATGGTACCACATACATTGAGTATGTGAGTCAGTCTCATTGCATTACATTGTCATTATCATAATGTTTGAGATGTGTGATTGGTGTGTATCTATTATACGATAATTCGATGATATATGGATGGTATGTATGATTATATAATTGACATGTAAAATGATTGTTATAAATTGTGTGAAAGTGTGAGATGTAGAGTGTGTGATTATGCATGAATAGATCTGATGTCTATTTATTATTATACATTCTTTTATATTATTGTGATATCTCACCCCTTTTATTGTTATGTTGCCTCTATGTGGGTAACGTGCAGATAGTCAGGAGTAATCTGAGGTTGTAGTTGTTGTAAGAGGTTGCTCTTTGTTTTATTTCGACTTGACGTCATTGCTCTGATACATAACACTGTGGGGGTGAACGCTTAGTTATTTTGTTGATTTTAACGAATTGTTTAGAGTCTTATGAACTCCTTAGTATTTGAATAAAATGTTAAATTATTTTTGGATGATTTTGATTCAATTTTAAATATAATTTTTTTCCCGCTGTTTAATGAAAGTTAAAGTTGAAGACCATGATGGCGTTGTTTTTTATTCATCCATAAATGTGTTATGTATCTTATTCATGTTATGAGTAGGTTAAATATGTTTTTGAAAATGTAACATCCTAATTGTACGTTGAACATTTTAAAATTACTCTGATTTAAAATTACTTGGTCCATAGACTTAAGTCTTGATTTTCTTGACTTTAAATTGTCTAACAAATGCATTGGAAATCCTTCCAAACATCCTGCATGAATAGTGTATGTTAGCTAGAACATGAGGCATTTTAAATGAGCCAAACAGTGTGATACTAATTCACTAGGATCGAGAAATACATTTACATAGAAATTTAAAAAATACATTTTCGAAAGAAATTAAATCGTAAAACTGAGGCATAACTCAAAAACAAATGAAATGTATGTGTGTGAGATGCTTAAGAAAATGCATTTTTAAAATTTGAAGGCATTTTTAAAAATTTATGCGGTATGCTAGAAAGTTCTAGGATGCATTAAAAAATCCCCTAATAAAATTCCAAGTCATTCAAGTAGCCAACATACCTAAAACTATCCTAACTCAAAGGCCCCACAAGCCAAATTAGGAACTTTTCGGTCCAATAAAAAAAGGAAGCGCTCTTTTCACTCTTATGATTTCTCCCACACTATCGTAAAAAGACTAAAATGTCATCAACGTCTGAAGATGCATTTTCAGACGCACTTTTTTCACACACAACTGAAGTAAAAATGATGAGAAACGCTTATTATGTAAAATATTATTCCATAGATACATCTCCGTATACACTAAGTATTGATCTGGAAATGCATCTCCGTAATACCTCTTAGTTCATTAGCCAGTGAGATATCTGAAGATGCATCTCTGAAATATGCTATATTAGATCAAAGCATAATCAGGCAAAAACAATAATAGTAGAATGGAGTTGAACCAACATAAATTTACTCTAAAATAAATATTACATAGATAAACATTACATAAATTTTATATTACATGTTATTAAAAACAGGTGATTCGAGACGTTGCAACATTCTTTATAATATCATCGGCTAATCTTTGAATTGTCGCATCCACTTCAATCGAACCTTTATTAAATAACGGTAAAAAGTACTTCACATCACCTTCAAATCATCATATGTCTTCAATTCAAACAACGTGAACTGTATCTTTTCTTCGTTGTCTATCGAAGGTGAATAATACTCGAAGTTGACAACTCTCTGATATTCAAAATATTACGAGAGTATTCAATTTGATTTTCAGATCAACAAAAAATATGTACACGTAAATTCAAAATTGAAATGGGAGTGTTATACCATTAAAATACACAAAAGTAAAATAGAAGACATTCTGATTTGTGTAAAAAAGATTTGTGTAAGAAAGAAAGTGTGGATTGAGAGACTCTATTTATAAAATTTATGGAGCAATAAAGACCTAAAAAACATAATCATGTCTAATGAAAAACTTCCGTCTTATTTTTTCAAAAAATAAGAATCACTCCAAAGATACAACTCTAAATGATCCTCTATTTTATTCTTTTAATTAATAAAGAGGTATATGAGTATACATCTCAGGATCTCCAAAAAAATATATATAGAAAACAGAACCATAATTATGCAAAGAATTTGAAAAACAAAAATTGTCAAAAAATATCACCCAATGAATGAAAGGGATAGTTCGAAAATACATATCCAAATACACCCAAACAATATACAAAGAATCGGATATGCATTTTCGAATCATATTTTTTCAAAACTGAGGTAAAAAAGAAGGGACTTGTGTTATTTTGGATGCATCTAAAAACACATGAAGGGCAAAATCGGAAGAGCATTTCGCTAAAAAAAACACATCAAACTGTGATCCCATTAAGCAGCTAGTCTGCTACTGTGTCACAAAACTAACTTTCATTGAATTCAAAAAGGAATATTCCCAAGAACAATTTGTTCATGAAAATTCTATTCAGCATCAGGATAAGAATATGGTATTTGGAAATTGGACTGCTAGGAGAACCATGGAACTGGGATATCCCGAAAAGTACAAACATTAATTAATTATAAATCATATCTACACGCTCTAAAATGAAAAGTGAAAAATTCCCTTTTTTGGGGGGTAAACTTGGCCAAAAACATAATAAACTTTATCATGTAGGATAAAATCCTCTTCAAAGAAAGTAAACAGATCAAAATACCCCGAAAAGATTCAATTTTCCAGCACCCTACTATGGCAGAGAAAATAGCCCCTACCTATTAACCCTATGACTTTTAACCAAAAGAAAAAGGCAAATAACAAAAGAATTTCCTTGTTAAGTAGGTAGGATTGAGGCACCTGTATCTTATTGCAATATTTGCAAATGCAGGGTTCCATTCAAAACCCACCCACATCTAAGAACCCCTACATCATTCATCGCCTTTCTCTCTGAACAAAAGGAATGGATCTATAGCCTTCTGCCATCAAAAATTGAAACTTGGATTTAACAATGATTAAAAACAGCATATTAAGCTTCGGATCTGGGATCAGAAGAGTTCAATTCTGCAGATGCTCCTCGCAAGTCAGATGCACAAGAATCAAACAACTTGGACAGCTGTGGCTGCATACCCTCAATGCATAGCTTGAGTGTGGAGGGGTCCAATTTCTTGCACTGGAAAACAAAAAACAATAAAGAGTAAGTAGACCAACCCCATCAAATAACAAGCTTCAATAGTGTCAATTTTGGCCAAACATGAATTGAAACATACAATTTCAGCCAGCTCAATAAAAGCAACTTGAATCAAAATTTAATATAGCATGAAAAGTCATCCATGAGAACTCACATAATATTGCAAATCAACACATACTAGATTTAACTAAGTTTCAATTTAATGATCTCAAATTATCAATCAACAGAAAAGTGATTAAAGTTAAGAGATTACCACCTCCTGATAAAAGGCATTGATCTCCTCTTCAGTTAGGCCTTCATCCTCATCTGAATTTTCCTCCCAGCCAAGAGAACGAAGAAATGCAGCTTCTTCCTCATCTGGGTAGACTGTAGCTCTAGAAATAGAATCTTTCTCTTCATCATCAGAAATTCTGCAGGGCATTTCTTGTGCGTGAGCATTGCCGTTACTAGTCAGTTCAGCACCATTTCCAACAGATTGAGGACTTGTAGAAGGCATGACTGATTCCATGTTTACTTCAGCAGAGTTTTCCAATGGGGGAGATGAAACCATTTGGCCAGAATCTGGAAGAACGGTAGACGAGTTTGTTGCTTTTTTGTTTTTAAGCAAATTGAAGAAATCATTCCGGCTCTTCACTTGAGAAATGGTTTGTTTCTTGTCCAAAGTAGAGCCTAAATTCAAATCCAAAGGAGCTGGCTTCCGCTCTGTGGAGGATTTTAGGTTGTTGGGGTTCTTCACTGGTGTGGGAGCAGCTGCTGAAGCAACAGCATGTTGATTTGTCAATTTATTAGAAACATCCTTAGAAGTAGGGGAAGCACCATTTTCCCACACCACCGATTTAAGATCAATAAACTTCCCAGAAGTCTTAGGAACATCAACTTTGGCATTTACACTGCGAGCAGATTGACTACCAATGTGCGATGCAGAGGGTTGCTGAGGCACACTCTTCGTAGCTACATTCATCTCAGCATTTCTGATAGCTATTTTTGATTTTGATTTCTCAGAAGAATTAAGAGCCTGACAAGAGCACTAACATAAGTCACCAAGAATTTAAAAAACACCAAGATAGAACTCAATTTCAATATCATTCAAAGATTTTAAAAAATATATATCCTGTGCCAGATCCTAATTCCTCCATTTTCCATATAGACATGGAAACAAACAGAACATCTTCATAGCAATTGAAGTCTTTTCACTAGTTGAGGTTGGTGACAAAAATCAAACAATATAAATAACATATCATACATGCAAACAAATAAATCAGTATACCATTAAAAAATCTTTTGATCATTTTGAACACTATAATGAAACCTGCAAACTTATTATAAGCCAGTTTGCAACATCAATTTAAGTGTCCTCCACAGGAATAAAACTTAAGTCGCAATCAACAGACAGCCGCAAACCCTTTGGTAGTGCAGGATACCGAAGTAGGCATGGGAGAGCAATGATAAGAGATCACAAAAATGGAAATATATAGTGTATAATAATACTAAAAACTAAAGGAGTCAAACATGCATCAGGTTATCTCAACATAAATTGGCCTTATGCTTACACCTATGTTGTTAAATTCAGATAGTACTGCATAGCGCTGAACCCCTAAAATGCTACGGAGGTATAGGTGATAACGGGATAATTGCTATTGCAAAGACTAAAACCAGTGTACAAAGTAAACAAATACTCAAATATTGACTTATAAAAAGAAAATAGCTCTAAAATATTGAAAAATTTATCCCCAAAATTCTAATAGCGGACGCAACAGTGAATGCAATAGCAGTTTGGGGCCGCAATTAGTGGCCTCTACAACCTCTGTCGTTGACAGCATCTCGCAGACCAATGCCGTTGCGCAGTAGCCTACCATCTATATGCTAGAACTTTGACCCTATATGTTCTAACTTTTGTTTTTTGAAAAAAAATAGGTTTTCCTTAGCAATTGAAAAATCATATCACAACAAATTACTATTCCAACCTTTTATCTTACCAGCTTAAGAGTCCCCAGCATGTAACATAACAAATGTCAAACAGATAAGTAGTTAGTAATTACCATGCAAGTGGATAAATTCTCTGGTACACATGGAGGACCAGTACCACAAACCAGAGTTGTCAATAGTGGGCGCTCCAGCCGCTATCGCGGCGCACCGTAGCGGCACCCCACCACGCGATATGCAGGGTGCAGTGGCGGAGATGGAAAAGCGGCCGCTTCAGCCGTGTTACAGGGTCGCGGGAAGTTCCTGGGCAGAACGGCTCCGGTTCTCTTTTTTTTTTAAACAATTTTCTGGGCCAAATTACTTAAATGCCCCTGTTTTAAAACAGTTTTTGTTTTCTTTCTCCCTCATTCGCTGGGCTCTATCGTGCCCCAATTCCTCAACTCTCCTATGATTCTGCCGTCATCTCCCTGCAACTCTCCTTTTCGGTTCTTCCTCCATCTCTTTCTGCCATCTCAGGTAATTTCTTCTAATTCTTCAACTTATTCTACTTCTTCAACTTATTCTACTTTTTTTCTTTCTACTGTTTCTTTCTACTTTCTACTTCTTCTATTTTGTTCTGTTGTACCGTTTCTTTCTATTTTGAAGAAATCGAAGATGAAGAATTGGAGGAATATTTTGGTGATGCTACATGATTTCTATGTTTGCTTGAATTTTCATATGGTAGTACTAAGTTTGAATTTGAATCTTTATGTTTTGAATCTCGATTAAGCATTGTTCTTTGTTTGACATTAGATTTTATAAATATTTTATGAGTGTTGTGAAATTAGTTTAGTATTACATGACATATGTTTTATGGATTATTATATAATTATTAGTATACAAAAAGTTATCCCACTATCCGGGATCCCGCTATTCCCACTTTTTCCATTCCCGGGGTCGGCCGCTCCGCTCCGCTATCCGGGATTAATAACTCTGCCACAAACACTGGATTAAAGCAAATAGCAACTGGAAATATAAACAGACAAAATTCCATTTTCAAATTTGGGTCACCAATTATTTGTAAAATAAAATGCTTGGTCGTATTGGGTCACACAAGGAGCATGAAAATATTACCATAACAAGAAAACATGTAATGATCCTAATCATAATGATATTAAGATTCATAGAATGAATACAGCTCAAAAAACCAATTCTTGAAAAGTTCAAATGAAAAAGAAAAAAGAAAAACCATCCACTGGGCTAATTAATCACACTTCTAGTGCAAGTAAATAACAAACTAACTATAGTAATGAACACGAATTGCCAACGCAACATCTCACTTCAAATTACATGCGGATAGAAAGACTGGCTTCATAAAGTAAATTAAAAATACTTCAAATGAATGTTCCTTAAAACCTGCATATACTCTTAATCATAATGATAAAAAGATACATGTACCCTTTACAGAGGGAGGTAGGAGGAGAGGATGATAACCAATAAAAATATGGTAGCTTCCATAGACAATAAATTTGTGCAGAGCATAAGCAATAAAGTCTATAGAACTTGAATCAAATCAACAAGTTAGGCAGTTTCCTGTATGAATTTCAAAGACAGAGCTAACAATTAACAACACTAATAATATTCAAATAAAGAAATGGAAAAAGAGAAGTATTTGTTCAATGCCATGATCGATCAGTTACCAAGTTAAACAAAATTTCAGTTACCAAAATATTAATAGAACAAAGCTGAAAATAGCCCTAAAGGAAAAACCACACTACACAGCCCAACAATTGAAATTCATTTAGCAATAAAACAATAAATTAAAATTAGAAGAGCAGTGTGATTGCAAGAAATGGTTACTACTATAACTTTCAGGATATCGATAAATGGTACATAAATGATGGTGAAAAATGATTTCAACAAAACTTTTCTATCCACTCGGTTCATTAATATTTAATTTATATCTAATGTACCTGGTAATCATTAACTGATATAAAAGTTACTTTATTAATTTCACTTTCACCAATATCTTTTTTATGTTTTTACCTAAACCCTAGTAATGTGTTCCATTGGTTGTCAAGATCACAATCTAAATTGTAAGATCAAACATACACGAATTCTTGTTGTTGCTCTGTTTCCGGTAAACCCACTCCAGAAAGTGGCAAGGTAATAGGAGAATGGCAAACACAACTTCAATAGTTGCTCTGTTTCCAAAATCTAAACATGTGCTTTCCACAAGTGAGTTGCGGTGCCAAGCTGACACTTTTACTTCTTAAACTTATGGGCAATTAGGGCATACATTGACCTATAATTGGGATAACATTTTGTTTTGATACCATGTGCTCAAGAGCATTGTAGATGACGGATTATGGTGGTGAGCCAAAAATCCGCCATAAACATATGGCAAGCGGCAAACAGTATATGCAGAAATATGGCAAGCAAATTAAAAAGAACTCATAAAAAATACCCACAAAAAACATAAAAAAATAAATTAAAAAAAAAACACCAAAAGATATCAATATATAACAAGAATCACAGACTTAACTGATAGAAAATATCATTTGTCTCAATCAGAAATAATATAATTTAAAATACAGAAGGATAATCAAAACAGAAAAATACTTTTTTTGACAACAGAAAAATCAATTTAAAAAAAGAATTTGCTTAGAAATATAAATAGTGGGAATTAAAACAAAAAAAATAAGTTTTTAAAAAAGAAGCAACAACTAAGCGTCTAAGCCTTATCCCCTAGGTGGGGTCGGCTATATGGATCAACTTTCACCATAATATTCTATCAAGGACCATACTTCTATCCTAAACTAGATGAAAACAGAATATGCATAAATAGAGCAGAAAATGATTATATAAAAAAAGAAGTAAATAGAGGGGGGGGGGGGGGGGGGGGGGGGGGGGGGGGGGGGGATTAAGAACGAAATAAGCAAAGAAAAATTGAAATATAGAATGAAGTATAGCAAAAAATGAAGAAACATATGAGAAAATGAATGACACAAATGGCATATGCTTTGAGAATAAAGAGAAGAGAGAACTGGTTGAGGAGAATTTGGTCAAAGGCAGCAGAAAGGTGATCAAAGATGGATCACGGTCGCAGCTGGGTGGCAATTGCAAGCAGCATAGACGGAAATAACAGAGGCAGATAAGGAGAGCAGAGATAAGAGCGTATAAGGAAGAACAGCCGTAAAGTAGTCGCTTTTTAAGGTTTGGTGTTTTAATCAATTTTAGACTGGGTTCAGGTAACATGACAGCCCGTGATTTTCAGATTTTCCAAATTTTTTCAGTTTTTTCCGCTGCACCACCATGTCTGATTTCTTCGGGGCAACTGCCATAGTTCCCTCATTGAAAACCACCAAGCCACCGCCTTTCTGTGGCAGTTAGTTGAGATCCTGCCTCAACATCCAGCCATGGCCGATATCAAACACTGGTGTGTAATCATTAAAATGGGCCCACTTTATGAGAATAAATGGTCAAGAAATGTAAACCAAAAAAGATGAACACGGGTTCATTAAAATAGGTTCAAGCATATATTGTTTTGTAAATTTTATCAAAAATGGATAGGGCAATAATTGAAAAAATATAATATACTAAAAATATATTAGTTTATATGAAGGTGTTGAGACAAATTATGGATACCATTACTTTTAGGGGATGGCATTGCAGCATCCTAAAAAATCATATTGTCAACCTGATGATGTAATTGAGTGTCATTTGGGCTTCTTTGTATCTTTGTGGGCTTGATCCTACTTGATCGCCTTGTATTTGTGGATTTATTATAATCAAATTTTGAATTGTTCAAAAAATATATATTATTAGTGTAATAAAACTTATAATCTATATATCAGGCCTACCGATCACTCTCTTGAACCTAGGTACTGGTAAGATCTCATTTGCTGAAACATTGGTTTATAGTGTATACCACAAATTACCATACCTTCAACACTGAAATGCATTCAAAAACTTCTCAAATTAAATGTCCAGAACTTGAAACTACAATTCAATTTTTTAACACAAACAGCAATGCAACACACACACACACACACAAAAAAAAAAAAAAACAAATGCAAATCTAACATCAAGTGTAACAGTGCAAGTTAGTTATACTATTAAAATTACCACTAGCATAAGATTTACTAAAAGAAGAGATAAAAGATATGTTAACCATAAGAAATCAAATTCACAAGCACTAGAATAAGGCATGAAAACTGCAATAGATAACTTATAAAAAAATGTTTTACAGCACAATTCTCTTACCAAAGCCTTAGGCATAGCTGGTGTTACTGGAATCAACTGTCTTGACTGTTTGATAGCCAGTTCCTCAAGCCTCTGTGTTTTCACCGACACCTACAATTAATTCAGACATTATGAACTGATATTGGACATCATGAAAATCATTATAATTAAATGAACTAAATGAATGTGAATAAAGAATCTGGTGACACAGCCAACAAGCTTAACTACCTGGGGAGTTGAACGAGCTCGGGATGGAGCCTGTGCCAATGCCTCGGCCATATTAAGCCCAGCTGATGTACTAGAAGAAACAGATCCAGAAGTTGCAGTAACAGTTTGCTGCGCAGATAGAGAAGATACCTCTGCAAGAGCAGAGGTCCATCCCTCCCCTCCAATCAAAGCTGAACTACCAACAGGTAGACTTGGACTAGCTGTGGCACCCAAACCAGGGGATGAAACCCTCCCTATTTCAGCTATTACCTGCTTCTCTTCAGCCCCGAGTGATGGAAAATCCTTGTCAAAGACGGCTTTCTGAATGCTACTGCCAACACTACCCCCAGAAAGTACACCATTGTCATGGTTGTGATTGCTGATTCCACCAGATTTAGTGTCAGCTGCAACTCTACGAGGTAAAGTCTCACCCTGTTTCCTGGAAACCATTGACTGAGAACGGCGCAATGTATCCCTCTCTATCCTTCCAGAAAAAAGGTTGGCCAATGGGTCAGACCCATCACGATCCCAATGGTCTCCAAAATTGGATCTATCTTTCTCTCTATCACGGTCCTTATCACGATGATTTCTGTTGAAACTACTGTAAGCATGTTTGGCAGAACCATTGATAGAACCCCTCCTATAACTTGACGAAGATGTCCGATCAAGAAATACAGAACGCGAGCTATCAAAATCACTAGTCCTAGAAGATCTATTCCTATTGTTATGGACAGCAGAAGGAGAATGGGAATCTACAAAACAACATAGAGATATTCAATATTTATTACCATCTTTTTCGTGGAAATTACGTAACAGTTATAAAGTAAAGATAACACGTGTGCACTTGTTTTTGTCATACATATGAATGCTAGGAAAAATATTCTAAGGGAACACGGCTAGTGTTTTTAAAAAATGACTTGGCGGTGCTATAGCATCCAGAAATTCGAATAAATCCCTATTGTTTTGCAATAGGCTATTTAGTACATAAAGCAATGAAATAACGGCCATAGCGGCTCAATAGCCTTGTTGCGTAAGACGCTATAAACTGAAGATAACACGTGTACGACGGTTATCATCATATAATTGACTGCTACAAAAGAAACAAATTCCAAGGAAACGTGGGCAGTGTTATTAAATACCGGCTTAGCGTTAGCGACGCTAAAGCATGCAGGAACTTGAACAAAACCCTATTGTCCTGCAATAGGCTATTTAATACAAAATGTAATCAAACAGCCGGCGGCATAGAAGAATATTATAATTCAAATCAAGCTAAAGCATTAAAATATATAAGTAATTTCAATAAAACGATATTTTCTAGAATCTGTAATTGACAACATTGAACACAATATTATAATTTCAATCCACCTAAAGCATTAAAACACATAAGTAATTCAACAAAAACTCCAAAATTACCGGTATGATTAGACGAGGACGCAAAATGTTGGGCTGAATTGCCAGCACCACCAACACTTCCAGCACTTCTCAACCATTCTGGAACTAACGCAGGTTCACTTCTATCCATAACTAACACTGTACATGATCAAATTTAACCACAAGCAAACACACACGCACTTCTTCACCGATTAAACGGTGAAATAGCACCAATTCCACTACGAAATTCAATCAATCCAAAACCAAATGCTTCAATTTAGATTCCTCTTCTCTCTATGAAAAATTAAACATCAGAAATTCATAACACTGCGAAATTGAAAAAAAATTGAAAAGCCCTAAAGGACAACGATATATAGAGTTAAGAACACCAATAAAATTGGAATTAAAAACAGAAGATAAAACCCTAAAAGAAGAAATCGTTAACTAGGGTTAAAGAAAAATGAGAAAGAACGCGAAATTAACCCTAGGGACACAAAACGAGGCGAAGGTTGAAGACGGTAATGAAACGAGGTCGTTTTGATAACCGCCACACGGAGTTGGAAAATGAGGAAGAAAATGGAGAGAATAGGGTTTTGTTTGTTTTATATGTGTGTGGGAGAGAAGAGAAGAGGAGTGCGATGAGTTTGTGTGAATGTGAAATTGAGAGAAGGCGAGAGAGACAAGGTAGAATTTCTGTTAGTTTTGGATACTCAGAAGCAACCAAAACATATTAGCATTCTTTCTCTTTTCTTCCTTAATATATAAATATATAAATGTATAAATATATTAAATCCATTTCTATTATTTTTTGCCTTATTTCTTTGCTTTTCTAAATTAAGTAAAATACCTTCTATTTATATTTCTTTATTATGAAATACTATACATTTCAACTCAATAGTCTAGAGTGTATTATTATAAATATTTGAGATTGAAAAAGTAGTTGTAAAGATGAAATATTATTAAAAAAATGTACAAATATGAACTTAAAATAGAAGAAATCACTTAGGTTCAAGATTCGAATTTTGGTGATAAACAAAAAATTAAATAGTGTACAAGTTAACTATTAATTAACTATTACAAAATTTATATGGATTCTTATCATTTTGTATATATAATTATTTTAATTAAAAAATAGTTGGATTTGTTAGTTGGTATTTAAATTTTTTTATTAATAAATCTTATATTTAATGACAAATGTATAAACTATAATTAAAATTTTGTTACAAATTAAAACTTAAATGGTGAAATCGAAACAATAATAAAATTAATACAGAATATGATTTTTTTTTTAGTACACTTTTTATAATCCAACTTTTTCAATAGCAAATTTAGTTTAAAATATTATTTTTGGATGTTTCAAATTCTGAATCTACAAAATAAATAATTAAAAATTAGCATATAATAAATAAAATTAAGAAGAGAAGCACGTAGGAGGTGAAAAACAAATGTAAGATACGTTATAATGTATTTAACAATTTTTTCGTTTGTTAACTATCAAATTTATATAAAATAGAAGATATAAGATTGTACCGGTCAAACAGTGCAAATGTGCATGTTCCTCCTATAAGGGTAGGAAGATTCCAAGACCTTAATAGATTTATAACATGATATAGTAGTTAAAGTTTGCCTACGACAGCGAGAAGCATGGCACGATTGTGTTTTAAGGTAGTTTGAGAGACTTGTTCACGTGAAGTGAGAGGTTTTGATAATGACTGGTGATGTTTGGTAGCAAGGGTATAGTTATAGGCAGTCGTGTATTAAGATTGAAGTGAGTGATGTGTTTTTTAGGATGTAGAGAATGTGTATTATTTAGGGTCTTTCCTTTCTCCCTTGAGGAGAGATGTATTTATAAGGTCTCTATGACCTAGAATTTGAGTCACCCTTAGCAGCGTCAACCGCTTCCTTCCTCTTAGGGGAAGTTATTGACCACCTATATTTCAAGAGTTAGTAGAGACTCCTTCTTCCTTGACACATACGTCAAGGTTACCTTTGGACAGATCTTCAGATTATTGCCCGGGCGACATGACTCTTGGGCAAAGGCATCATGGTTTAAGACCTCTTCAAATATAACACTACATAGTCTCTCAAGCACGAGGATTTTTCTAAGGGTAGAGTATTTTTAAACTCTTGGAGCCCGTCCCTCCTCGTGTCAATTATTTCTCTAGATGAGGTCGAGTCCCTCAGTTAGGGTGAGTCCCTTATATATATATATATATATATATATATATATATATATATATATATATATATATATATATATATATATATATATATATATATATATATATATATATATATATATATATATATATATATATATATATATATATATATATATATATATATATATATATATATATATATATATATATATATATATATATATATATATATATATATATATATATATATATATATATATATATATATATATATATATATATATATATATATATATATAGGGTGAGTCCCTCAGCTAGTGCGAGTCCCTCAATTCAAGATATTTATAAAAAAAAAAAGGTGAGTGGTCTATGAAATAGCACGCCTATTTTTAGGTGATGTTCCAATACTTCAGAATGTCAATCACTTTTGAAGGTTGAGTGTTTGAGTGGAAAAAAGGCATGGGTGGTATTTAATGCACCTCGTGATGGCGCTTATTGGGTAAACCAATTTGTTTCACTTCTTATATGTATCTTCCAAGTATGGAGACTCTCCAACTTTTTGTGGCAGATCATTCACTAAGTTAACGTGTAGTTGTGTATCTTCAGGGCTTGCCTATATTACATCGTAAAACCCTTTTATCTCTCATTTTCCATTTCTCATTCTTAAAAAAAGCATTTTTGGGTTAGACATTTTCTCTTCTAAGTCATTATTTTCTTTTATCATGGGGAAGAAAATTAAACATGTCCATGTCCATGATATTATATTTCAATATTCTACTGAGGAAATGATTGATAAATTTTGTCATGGCATCAGGTTTTCCAGCACAGACCGGGAGAGGGATGTGACATGGAACCCTGCTCAAAAGGATGAGAGGGTGAATATGGATACCTCTGGCGAGTCATCTGCCCCCTATTTTTATATCCATCTTCATGTTATTTATGAGCTAAGGGTTCACCCCTTTTGAAATAGAGTTTTTGACTGCTGCCAATGTTGCCCCGTCTCAAGTTACTCCAAATATATAAAGTATACTCAGAGCTTTCAGATAGTCTATTGTTGTTTGGGTGTATCCCTCTTTGTCAGATATTTTTCCATTTCTTCATGACAAAGCTCTTTCCCACTAATGGATGGGTGACATTGTGTCCTTTTCTTGGTGGATGCATGATAAAACCCTTCGTCAACCCTTTGAAGTAAAAAAGAAATGTCACTAGAAAGTGGGGTTTGAATAGTGACCTTTTAGAATTTTGTATCATCTTGATATATCAAGAAGTTTAGATTGTGAAAGTATGGTGAGGATAGATATAGAAATGTAAATTGGTTTGTAAGTAAATGACACACAATAACTTATCATGGTTCACCGATTTTTGGTTAGTCCAATCATCACACTATGAGAGTTTTATATTCTTCACAATCACCCAAGATACGGATGCTTGTGGCTTTTGTTTTCACTTGTCCTCAAAAGGCTTACACTTATGAAAGTATTCAATACATCAGATTTTTTACAATTTTCTAAATAGCTTTTTATATCGCTTAAAGGATATACATGTATGATAATGATTTTGAGTACAAGGATAAACACTATATTGCAGTGAGAATCTTTGAGTAGAGTTTCCTTGATACAAATGAATTTTGAACAAGAGAGGTGAAAAGATGATTTTGATTCTTTCTTTTATGATATATGTTCCTCACTATGTTTTCGAAAAATCTTATTGAATAAGCAAGTGATGATTACCTTTTATAGATGGATGAAGAAAGTAACCGTTGGAGAAGTGAACTTTATTTTATCCTTGGTTGTTGCTAGTTTTTACATAATTACCACACATGACATTTTGATTTGATGGCTTTCTTGAGATTTGAGGAAAGTCTTGTTGTGCAAGCTGGTTTGTACGATGATATATTATTATATGCCTTATAATAATCACATGATGCTTGGTGAATTCTCAAACGTTCATTTTAAGAGGAACACGTGTTTTTAATCAATCTCGCCCATTTTAATTTGTTTGTAATAAAAAGTACTTTATCTTGATCATAAAAAATAAACCATGCTCTTGGACAAAGTTGATCATTTGTCTTGATATCCCATTAAAACTTACGTAACAAACTTGTACAGAGAGTTAGATAATATTGCTAAGTTTGTTATCTTCAAAATTATTTAGAGTTTATTTCAACAATCTCCCCTTTTTGATGATGACAAACTTATCATTTTTGTTTTCATATCATGTCCCCCCTAAGAGTATGTATATTTCCTTTTTTTTAGTTCCCCTTGATGCATGAAATTAAATACAAATATAATAGTGGAGTTTTAATTTATACTTATAATAATTTTTGGAGGATAATTCATGATAATTGGAAAAGAGCAATCAAAACAAGAAGCCTCTTTTTAGTATTGATAAGAAGACACGGAGACATGGAGGCAAAAATAAAAGATTTAGATAGTACATATTTATAACTAAGAACAAACTAGTAAACTAAGTAGTAGAACTTAATTCTCCCCCTTTTGTCAACAGCAAAATGAAGGAGATGTTGCTGAAAGTTTAAGCCTTGTCCTCGGAGGAGGCACCAGAATGTGATAGGAATGGAAATTTAAACTTCGAGATGATTGGCGGAGGAATATCGGGATGAGCTTTAGGAAGAAACATAAAGAAGTGCCAATCAAAGTAAGCTTAGTTCTACTGACCAACGTTGACGGTTTCCTTCTATGGATAGGTGAATTACTTCTAAGATGGACTTCCACAAGAATGTCTTAAGGGTTTGTTTGTGTTAAGATTTGGAGATCCATGTTTTCTGTGTGAGCTTTAAAAAGGGACGAGTTTAATGAACCGAGAGTATCATGTTCTGATAATCTGTGGGTTATAAATCTTGGAGGGATTCATAAAAAATTAGAGGTGTTAGGAATGCGTTAAATGAGTTTTCAAATCTTGTTCCAACTTTTTTTGGGTAGGAAAACATTGGATACTGATTTGGTGGAAACGAGGATCCCGAGTCTTGACGATGAGTAGGGGTAGTGGAGTAACCATATTGATTTTGAGTGGGAAAGAGTCCAGTCATTACTTATGAAGCAGGATCGAAACCACTATAGAAGTATACTTGTTAAGCGTTGGATAACATCTGATGTTAGAAAAGCAAGTCATCTAGTTGGTTATTTAAACCCACTGATGGTTGCTCAATATCAAGGTTAAGATCAAGTTTGTGTAGTATAGGAGACATCTTATGAGAGTGATTTAGAGAAGCGTCGAACAAAGGTAATGTTGGATTGGTATAGTGTTGTGTGAGAGTTCCACAGTCAAGAGCGAGTGCTAGTTGAGGTGGATAAGAATTTGAGTGATCATTTCAGGGTTGAGATTTTTAGTGGGTGAATATATTGGTGATTGGTGGATGTCAATATTATTAGTTTTCTTTGTGAGTGGAATGTTGTTGTCAGAGTCAGGTGAGAGATAGACAGTTGGTTCATAGATGATTGAATGTTATAAAGTGTTTTCTACCTCAACAATTATTGATATCTCAATAGGAGACAAAACAACATTAGTTTCTAAAGT